TACACTTTCAGGATACCAGGAAATCATGATTAGCATGTGTTTAGTTGTGACTGAAAGTTATTAAACTTCTTAATTAAAAAGGCATTTCTGTTTAAAAGCCAGAAATCAGTCAGACTACCACATGACAAAAAAGTTTCAGCTCTACCAGTTATCAAGCTCTGTAACCACTGGCTGTGCATTGTATTCTTTTTTTTTTTTTGGATCGTACACACCATCCTTGTCTTCAATTTGCACAACATGTACTTTTTTATATGATGTAAGGGATGTAACTGCTGTGCACTATTTAGTGTAATGTCCTATTTGTTGTATCATTGTGTGTACAGTGTATTTTAGGGGGACTGCAGGTCAAAATGAGTTGCAAGATAACTCTGGTGCAATACATCAAATGGCAACATTTACGTTAAATATTGTACAGTACGTGGTCCCTGACAAAAAAAACCAATAAACTACAATCAAAGAAATAAAAATGCTAAACATAAAAATCAAAGTAGTGAAATTCACAGTGAATATACGTCACTGTCAGACAGGCTTTCAGGAATAATATTTGTCTCTGCTTTCTTTTAATTTCAGGTATAAAACATCAGCCAGCTAACTTCTGGAGGACTGGAGCATTTTGAGACTTTAAGGAGGAGAGGTGGACACAAGAACCAGAGAGAGGAATCTGTGACGGGATGGCTCTGGTCGACAAACATAAAGTCAAACGCCAGCGGCTGGACAGGATCTGTGAGGGTGAGACACACTCCTATACTCCTCTCTTTCTCCCAGATTTTTATTTTTTTTTTAAACATACATGTGGATTTGAGATGCTGGCTACCCAGTTGGAGGTCACTGGAAATTTATTATTTTCTAGTTGTTTTATTTTTTAAGTTTTTGGTGTGTGTAACTTTGAGTGTGTGGATTAGTTTCACAGGTTTATGTTGTAGCCATTAAAAAAAATTCCCTGCACTGTTACATGGAAATTAAGTTTCCATCAGTATTTAAGCTTTTCAGCCTGCCACTACAAATTCAGTGGAAAGCCAGTGGGATCGTTTGCATAAGTGTGTTTGTGTGTGTCAAAAGGGAGCCTTGGGACCAGCCGAGGCTCCAAAACTTCGGCTTTGAAGGCTGTCTAGGAGGGAGTGAGTGTGAGAGTGTGTGTGTGCGTTTGTGAGTGTGTGTATGTGCGATGCAGAGGAGGTTGGGCTGATGGCTGAATGAGACTTGAGTTCGATGTTTCCAGATTGCTGGAGAGACGAAGCAGGGAGTTTGTAATAAAGTGAAGCACTCCTCCGAGCCCTGGGATTGATTATAGCTGGTAGTGGGCTTGATTTGTGTGTGTGCATTCATTTGTGTGTTTAAGACAAAGCAAGATATTTTCCTTTCGTTTTTCTTCACTCACTTTTTTTTTTTACTTAACCACCGACAGCAGCCACTGAATGTCTGAATGTTTATTTAATGTGTATATGTGGGCCCAAACTCATACTCGGCCTTCGCTCACACCAGTAATGCATACACTGTGCTGTACAGAGCATGATTCTACTTTTCTATTCTCCTTTTTGTAATGTGGGTATAGCCTTTAGCTGCAAACTGCTGTTCTTCTGTAACTCATTGCAAGTCTCTCATTGAAGTGTCTTTCATCTGTCTTTGTTTACTGGGGTCTCTAATTTCAAGATATGTGAGGATCCACTTCAGCATTTGCTATTAATTTGTTAGTTGCATCTGTAATATACAGCAGATCATTAGAGGGAGTATGCTTACAGTGTCTGAAACACCCCCAAAAATGTGCCCCGTTATCCCCCTTTGAATGAAAATAACATCTCAGCCTCTTCTATGACTGCAGGCTTTGCACCCTGCCTTTGAGTGTGGCCCTTTAGAGCTACCATAAACACTTTAGACATCGCCGGACGACACCTTGTATAAACCAGTTCGGTTCAAGCTTACCCCGGTCTTTCCCGGTTGTCCATGATATCTACCCACACTTTCTTCTAATGTGATCTTTCCACCCGCTGTCTCTGCTGTCTAGAAAATGTTTACACTCACTGTCCATTCTCAAAGCCTGTCACTCGAGCAGTCTGCCAAACTGGTGACGTTTAACCTGCGATGGTCTCGGGCTCGTGGGAGGTGTTTGTTAAAGACCACTTACAACAGAAGAATTAAATAAACAACGATATGATAAATCACTTTAACATCCCACATGTAGTGAATCGCATGAGCAGTGTTGCAAAATTGTATTTTTAGTCATTCGCATTGCTTCCAATCAGTGTCATTTTAAATTAAGTGTTCTCATGTATGCAAAAGAACATCAGCTCTCTATAAGCGAAACCATAGGATTTTCTTAGTAATATTGAGAGAATCAACATCAACATTCCTCTTTGTTCATGTCTCAGGAAAATCCCATTAAGATTGCGAAACACAATATAATAGATTCCTAAATGAAGCGGCGATGCTGTCTGTTTCCACCCTCAGAATGAGAGCCACATGTGGCATCTCAAACCTCTCCAAACCACCAACCCTGCTTGCTTGGAAACACTTTTTCCTACTTTTTTTTTTTTTTTACACAAGAAGAATGACTGCGTATTGTCCAAGGAGGCAATATTTTAAACATCATATAACACTATCTGCTCCTTTTGTCCCGCAGACGTCTTCAGACATAGTCAACAGTGTCGACGTCCCCTCTGCTTATCAACAATGAAGTCATTCTGCCAAAGATGAAGGGGTTTTCTTTTTTTTTTTTCTGGCGCAGTTAGTCACCACAGCTGCTCTTAAAAATGTGTAGAAGAGGGTGATTCACATTGAGGAAGTTAAAAGATCAGAGGGTGGTGAATCACGTTGTTTTCATGGTAGCGTTAAATCTGCTCAACCATATAAAAAGGGTATTTCAAAACCAGAGGCATGGGGTGTTCTGCACCATAATGTCAAAGCCACCCACTATTATCTATAAACAGAGTGTTTGGACTGAGGCGTGAAATAGAAATCAAAGTTCGTATCATGTGTATTGACAAAAACAAGAACGTTATGGAGTGATTGTGATTGCGTCGCCGTCGTGGGTTGCACTTGGCGAGACGGCGAGAGAAGCTTCCCTAATCTCCATTCATCTTCTGAGGATAACTGTGTCAATCCAATACTTGTTTCACAGCGGAGTGCATTGATTACATCTTTACTCATTGTGATGAGTGGCTAACTGAGCCGTGCCTGTGGCCTAAATTGAATTCGAAATGGCTGATCTAGTGTGGCTGTTTACTCCCATCAAAAGTGGTCACGGCACTGGAATGTAGATTTCAACCGAAACGGTGGATGCTTTACTGTTGAGGATATCTGATGCGATTCACTGTCCTTGGCTTTCATGTCGGATTTTTGTGGTTTTCCAATTAGACGTGTAAGGTCAAAACTATGGCTGCGACTCATATACATCGCTTGTTTTGTTTGATTAATCTATTAATCATTTGGTCTGTAATGTGTTAGAAAATGGCGACACTTGCTCATCCCAATTTCCGAGAGCCCACCCTGTCCAACCAACGTTCAAAAACACAGATATTCAAATTCCAGTGAGTTTTTGTACTTGATAAATTAGCTTTGACAGTTAATCAATAATGAAATTAAGGGTTTTTACCCAGGAAGTTGTTTTAAACCACCGAGGTGTAGACCCATTGTGTCTTGTGATCAGTTTTATTAGCTGTTGTCGTTATGAAACTTTTTTCCCTAAGCGTTAATGTTGTACTGTATAAAAATATAGATCTGAAAGTGATTGTCTGAAACGTATCAGTTGATTGACAGGAGAATTAATTGGCCGCGATTTCCATAATCACGAAAATGACAAACATTTGCTGGTTCTAGCTTCTCAGATTTGATGCTTTTCTTTCATTATCTAATATCTTTGGGTTTTGGACTGTTACATGAATTATGATCAGCATTTTATTGGCAAAACAATTCATTGATTGATTCATCTGGAATATAATTGCCAGATCAATCAATAATGAAGATGATTAGTTAGTCGCAGGCCTATGAAAGTGTATACATGTTTTATGATGTTAGCAGAGGGGGTCTTTTATTCCAGGCGAGGCGGCTCGCCCCTGCTAAAATATACAGCTGGAAACCATGAAAACTTTGAATAATTACTGTATTGTTTAGTTTATTTGAGTCAATTAATTCATTACACTTATTTCTCTGTTAAGCCTCACAGCATTGTTTAGTTCAGATATCAGCTTTCAAAATGTATACGGTACAACTGTTCCTTCTGTTGTGGGTTTGATAAAGTGCCAAGAAGAGTGTAACTGCAATAAGGGAACTGTGGCAAACATCTGTTGTGAGCATCAGTTCCCATACTCTCTCGTTCCTCCCTCTTTTTTCTCTCTCTCTCTCTCTCTGTCTCTCTCACTCTCTTACTCTAACTCTCTCTCTCTGTGTCTCTCCTTCTGTCCGCTCCATCTGTGTACCCAGCATGCATTGGCTTGGGCAGCAGCACAAGTCGTTGCCATTGCCGTTTAGCCAGAGCTAACTGACTGATCTGGGCAGAGATGGGATGTGAGCGGCACTGCGACGTGAACTAGGTCGCAGTAACAGCATGTTCCTGAATGTTGATTTACAAGTTGTAAATCTGTGCTTGGATGCAAACACCACAAGGTGGGGTAGTGCAATTTGTCATGGTGATTCCAAGTGTTTTTAGTTGGCAGTTAAATAAATATGTTATTGCTTGATAATGCACGCTTTTTTTTGTCATGTGTACAACAGGAGGAGATGTTTAAACACTGAACAGTAAATAATTTGGCCAGTCAAGCTAAAATACCATAAAACTAAGCCTGTGAATTATTCATAATCTCACATTTAACAGACCTGCAAGCTTTTTTTAAATTTTTTTATAACAAAACACTTCATATTAAATAGAGAGGACAACCAGGGAGGCTTTGGAGGAGATGGGGAGGAGGGGGGGGGAGGGGGGGGGGGGGGTCTCCTGATGTCATCTTCCCCTGCAGGGGGGGGCTTCGTATCCTCAGCTTTTCAGCACAGACTCGGGGCTCGGCTGCATCCACCTCTCTGCTTTCATCCCTCCCTCCCTCCCACTCGTCTCCCCACGCTCTGGCATCCAGCTCTGGTATGAAGTCATCGGAGCGGTCTCTGAGTCTGACCCCCCCTCAGGCTTGTTCCAGGCTCCTCACCAAAACCCACGACCCCTTTATAGGCTTTGTGGAGAGGCAGGGAGGGGCATGGAGAACTGGGGGGGAGGAGAAGAGAAAAGAGCACATTGAGAAATGGTAGAAAGTGTTGTTTTTGGATGGAAATTCTTATAATCACAGCAAACCGGTATGTGTGATTGTGTTATTATTATCAGTAGAGTGTTACTGTCTCTTGTGCACACCTTGAATGAAGTTTTATGGTATGGTTATCCTTTTCTCCTTAGTGTCTGCTGTTGCCTTTGTTTGAGCTGGCATGTAGTTTAGCGGTTGTTTGAAAGTTGGAAATGAGTTCCTGGAAAAATCAGATTTCAAAATAAGCTCCTCAGCTACGACATTAAGTATTGTAATGACATGTGGCTTCTCTGGATCGTGCTGGAGATCATATCAGAGAGGTGGGGTGATGGGGTGCACCCAAAGGAGATGGATTATGGGTAGAGGTGTCTCTCTCTTACATAGCTGGAAATTCTGTAGAATTTGTGCGCTTTTGCTGCTGTGTGTGTGTGTGTGTGTGTGTGTATTTCGTGCATACTAGCAAAATTGAAAAAAACGTGTGTGTAAATGATTGTCATTTAGATAAGTACTAGCTTCATTGCCATCGACCTCCATTTTACAGTCCATTTAGTCCCTATGGAGATGTTTGAAGAGACAAATAATCCCACTGGAATCACATACAAGGCAGTCATGTGCATAATGTCTGTTAAGTGTGCATTACAATTCATCTGACAGCGTTATTCTTTGCTGTGGTAGTGGCATTGTAATCCCATTTCCAGTTAGTGCCTCCTGCCCCACGCTCATGCATAAGTCAATGTGTGTTTAACATTCAAATCATGCCTTGAGTACACGACGTGTCACACTGTAGGAGACAGTTGTTTTTATTTCTGTTGCAGTGCAGTATTCAGTTTGAGTTAGCGTGTGATTTTTATTCATGTATGCACGTCAGACCAAGGCCAAGGCTTTTGGCGGCGTTTTTTGCGTGTGTGAATGAAAAGGGACATTAACGAAGCTCCGCGGCCGCTGCTGTCTCTGTTGCACGTCAGAAGACGAGCACAACGGGGTCAAAAGGCTGAGTGGGGATCCGGGATCGTGCAAGCCTTACGTGTGTGTGACTGAGTGGGTGTGTAAATGGAGGGGTGAGCGTGAGTGACAGAACATTTCTAAATGGGACTTCTTGCATGTGAACCCTCTGTTTCCAAGAGTTGGTAAAGCATGCAAACATTTAACACGGTTAAAACATGCACCAACAAGCGCACGCATGCAAGCACGCACACACAAACACAATATGACCCACCTCTGCTTCTTCTGCTGGCTTAGCTGTAATATTAATGTGGAGGCAGGGACTCGGAGGACTGAGTGACAGGGAGATGAAGAGTGTTTGTTAAACAATGGCAAGCGCCTTGTGTGACAGATTAGCCTCACATCTGACGTTGTACATCTTTTCCGTCTTGTTACTTGCTGCTCGCAATTGTCTCTGTAGTCCTGTAAAAGAAAAGTCATACACTACATCAGGCTAAAGTAGAGTTTTATGAAATGTATTAGCAGTTAAAAGAACTACATAATTGTATCCTTACTCGAGGTTCATTTAGTGAAGTTTCTATATGTTTTACCCATTTAGAATTTTTTACCAGTCAAGTTTTATTCAATGTAAGGTCTTTATAAGCTTCTGCTGGGGTGGTATTATATTTGTTCTAAAATCCCCGGCTTAATTCCTAAATCCCTCTGTTACAGTGAATCTGGCGTTGTGTGCATAGTCTGGCAAGTATGGCAAATGGAGGAACATTAGAATTTGAAAGTCAAACATTGTTTAGTTTGAGACAAACAGAACTCTGTGATTTACTTTCCTGTCGGGATTAGATCGGCAAACCCTGAGTACACACCTCTGCCCCCGTCTCTCTGTTTGAGGTTGACTTTATGGGGATGAGAGATCTGCTGCACTGAGACCTAGAGTCCCTTGAGAGCTGGGATAGAAGAATGAGAGGAGTGGATGAGGTTGGGGAAAGAAGCCAGGGGATCACGTATACTCTATAGGCTACTGCCCTTGACATGAGTGTGTGTGGGTGGGTGTGTGTGTGTGTGTGTCTGTGTATTGGCTCTGATCATTTTCTCCTCATTTTAAACAGCTCAAGTCTCAGAAAGAGACTGTTAACCTTGCAGTGGTATACTAAATTAAGAATGATCTACGCACATTCTGACTTTTACAGATGAATATTTTCCGATTTGGACATCTAGGAAAATAGTGTCCATATTACATAAGCATGTGTGCCTTAGGAAATGAATGACACCCATATTCGAAATGATTGTAGAACTTGATGCCTTTATAACAGCAACACCCTGCCTGATAAAATCAAAATGGGCTTCAAAAATCAGTTCTTTTTCCAATTCTCAGCTTTGATTTAATAATTCATCTTTATAGTTGCTTTTAGATCTCTGTACCGGCTCGCCCTTGCCTCCTCTCCTTTCCCGTTTTAATTTCCTTTTTACATAAAGCTGACTAATGTTCCTCTGACCTTACCCAAAGAAAAACGCTCTCAGTCATCTGCGCAATTGGTTTTGGAGCCAGTGTCATCAGCTTTTTCCTGTCATCTTGTGAAAACAGCAGAATACTCCGCTACCTCTCTGATCTCTTCCTACTCTAATTACACAACTGTGATTAAACAAGAAATTAGTGCCAATGACGGACATGCCTGAACAGTTTCCACGGGCCCTCTGTAAGATATTCAGGAAGTTTTTCTCAATATGCTGATATATTAAGACTTTCTTCACCGTCTAAAATATGTATTACTGCCCCTCGCTATGGTTAGCTCTGAGATTAGATTTGGATGGAAATGGACACTTCCTCACCTTACATCTGTTTTCATGCATTAATAAACAGGGATCCTCTGCAGTAGGGATCAGGTTTCAGCCACAGTGACATGAAATGAGACATGCAGGCAGCCAGGTTGGTTGGTACACCGTCAGTCATGTGTTGAACATCACCTTGGTTAAACAAAATGATAAATGTATACCATTAATTACATCTTTATGTATGGTTTATGGCCAAGGCATAATATAAAACACTGCAGCATAATAGCAAATAGATTTTTTTCACTATGGCATATTTGAATAAAGCGGAATGAGCTCCTGTTGTTTTCAGCTCAACAAGCATAAGGTTTTTGCAAGGCAAAGGTTGTAGGTGCTTTGGATTAACTGCTGTTACAAAAGGAACCCTCCCCCCCCCTTACACACACACGCCACACTCCCATGTTTTATTTTTCTCTGCAAAGAGGCAAATCCAGATTACAGAGCTTCTTTAAGTGAAGGAGATCAGATGAGCTTTAGGAAAGAGGGGGAAGGTGTTTTTTTTTTTTTTTTACTGACTGAATGGCCAAAGAAAACACTGACTTTCTGTATAAGTGTTGCATTTAACACTTATCCTTCTACTCTACAAGACAGGGGAATATTGATTATTCAGTGTTGTTCAGTTTCTTGAAATGACAAGAAGGAAAATGGGACAGACATTGCAGCTGGATTTCGTTATTCTGCAATCTCCATGCAATCCCTGTGTTGTAATTTTCAACATCCTCCAGTTAAGATACAGATAGCAGGACCGAGTGATCTCAAATCAAGGAGAGTGGGGCAGTGACAGTGAGCGCCACGAAGGCATCAAGGACATTTCAGAGTGAGTTGGGCAGCAGTTGCGTGGTGGCTCTGCTGCAAGCATGGGGCCTGGAGGATTAGTGTCCAATCACAGTGGATTTGATGTTTACTGACAGCACATGGGACTTAGCTGAGAGAACTGTATTTCATTTGTATTCATTGAAGCTGTGCTCCTTGCCTGGCCTCCCCTCCCCGTGCCGTGATTCTGGCAAAACTAAAACCTGTTGACGACAGTGCATCATCAACAGCTTCAGGTAGGTGACTCTTTAGGAGAGGGTGAGGGGGTTTGTGGGTGGACTCTAAATCATTGGCATCATCATCATCACCAGATATGCTTGTATCTGGTTCAGGTGACGTCACAGTGGGAAGTGGAATTAAAGAGGCTTTATTTAGATGTAATCCCTCATAGCAATCGGCAGAGCGAGTAAAATGTCCCAGAGAAGGGAGAGATAAACCCTATTGGATTAGTACAAGCCCCTGCCCATCCCAACCTATAACATAACCTATCCCCTCCTTTCATTTTTTTGGTTCTTTTTTTCTGAACGTTCAACTCAAGCATACATCCTGTTACCGTGTCTTCCGTGGAATAACTGTGCTACCTCTGCAGTGTACTGTGTTTGTGTGGTTTGGTGTAATGTTTTTGTGTGTGGTGTCCTCTTTCCTCGCGCACAACAAGACAGCATGACCAGAGATTAATTATTCAAGGACCAACAGCCAAAGGGGAGTCACCTGATAGTACGGACTTACAATATTACAACCTGATATCAGGTGAAACGGTAGACCCTGCTTCATCTTCTTTTCTGCTTGTTCTGCACCTCCCTCTCTCCGTTCCGCAGCTACAGTTCATGAAGACTTGAAAAAGAACTTTCAAAAACACAGCTACAAGTGGAATTTTTTTTTGTTTTGGGTGTTTACTTTTTCAATCCGTTAAAACTTTTGCTGCTTCTTCCTTTTTTGCCAATGCTTGTCACTAACAAACAGTTGAGTCTTGGTCGCTCCCACAGTTGGGACACATTAGGAGGGAATGAGGGTCAGTGGGACAGGGCTGAGAGTGTCTACGAGCAGCAGGCAAGAGTAGCTGGCCGGCGGAGCTCTCTGTCATACGGAGAGGGAGGAGGGTGGTACGAGCCTCCACCAGGAGTGCAGCCCCCTGACCTGGATTTGAAACGCGACCCGTATTCCTACCAAGACTCTCTCTACGGACAGGTTTACGCAGACCGACACGACCTAAGGGGGTTGAGGAAGGGCTCAGTGCCTGATCTAAATCATTACGAACGTGTACCAATGGCTCACCGAGGATCCATTCCGCATCAGGATTACTACTCTCATGACCCGGCTATGACTCCTCGGCCGCCTGAGGGCTTTTACCGGCCAGAACACCAGCCTCTGCCGCCTCACCCTCATCCACTCAGTAGGTCAGGCTCTCATTTCGGGATGGCTCCTGGGGCTCGTAATGTGTGGGATCAAGGTCAGGGAGGGAGAGCAGGACCTCAAGCCCCCGCATCGCCTCTACCTCCTCCTCCCCCTCCTCCAACCGCTCAGGAGTTGAACCGGGCTTACAGGGAACCTGGTGCTGTAACTGCTGCCAAAATGACGCCAGATGGCCAACGCATACCCTCCCGAGACCCATCTCCTGCTCACTATGGTATGGAGCATGCATCTCCTCGGTATGCCAGTGAGCCTCCACCTCTGACCGGTCAGTCTGTCTATACTGATGTTAATGGGCGCCCTTTGGATCCACAGCAGCAGGCTGCTACCTGTCTAGTAGTGGATCCAGCCAGTCAAGGTATGATTATGAGGCAAGAGACAGCCTCACCTTTCACCATTCAACAACAGCAGCAATTACAACAGCAGCAACAAATACAACAGCAGCAACTTCAACAACAACAATTGCAACAGCAACAAATACAACAGCAACAGTTACAACAACAGCAACTACAGCAGCAACAATTACAACAGCAACAGCTTCAACAACAACAGTTACAGCAAGAACAGTTGCAGCAGCATCTGCAACAGCAACAATCCCTGCCACCCCCACCTACCATGCCCATCTCTGACCCTAACTTTTCTATGGCAGCTCCACTTCCCACTCCACCTGCCCCAGTGCAGACCGCAGCAGTTTCCCCAGCAGTGCCTGTCCCCATGCAGGCTGTTCTAACTTCAGTTCCTCCTCCCCCAGTCACTCCACTTCCTGCTCCTCTTCCTGCTCCTACCCCCACTGCGCCACAGACGCCTTTGCCTGTGGACCCCAAGAAGAACGTTGATCCTGAATTCCTTGCCCTGCTGCGAAATGAGGGCCTCTCAGAGAGCACCATCTCCTCAGTTATCCAGCAGGGATTTGACTCCACTAGCATGCTGGCTGTTATGGAGGAGAACGATGTCCGCACCGTTGCCCCCAACCTTGGCCAGGCTCGTGTACTATTTCGCGTGGTCCACAACTGTAAGCGGCCGGCTGAGGCTCTGCCAGTTCCCTCCCAACCTCAAACACCCATGCGAGGCCGCTCTAATAGCTTTAGTCATCGTTCAGACATCTACTCCCAGCAGCACCACCATCCACCACACCCTCCACAGGCTTTGACCGTGGACCCCCAGTTGATGCCCCCACATTCTCCTGGGGCCATGCAGACCATCTCCCCAAGGATGGGAGAAGTTATGGGTAGGAGGCCGAGCAGTGCCCCCTCTCAGCACCTCCTGGAAGCCTCTGGAGGCTACCCAGGCCAACCACCTCGCTCCCCAGGACCATACGCTGGAGCCATTATGCCTGTTCAATCAAGACCCATGTCTGCCTACTCTTCTGGGATGACAATGCCAGGGATGCACATGCAGGGTATGCAGATAATGCCACAGCAGATGACTGGGTCAATGCCAGCCATAGCAGGGTCTATGCACTCCATGCAAGGTATGCCACAGCAGATGCCCGTGTCCATGCCAGCTTTACCACAGCCACCACAACAGGTACCAAAAGCTTACTCTACAAATTACACAGTGCCCATGGAGCTGATGAAGAGGGACAGGAACTTACTGCCATTGTCACCCATGCATAGCCCTCACCCCAGTCCTCAGCAGATGCGTAAGGGTGGTGGAACTGCACCAGACAATGCCCTTGTCCCTATGGGAGCACCAGGCCAAGGCCAAGGTGCCCTGGTTGCTAACCAGAAGCTAAGTCGCCGCACAGGTCCACCAGTCATCGTGTCCACTATGGCATCTCCAGATACAAGTAAATCCTTTTTTCTCCTTCTGTCCTCACCATTTGCTGTTTGTCTGATTTCTTGATACATTTGGTCTTGCTTTCTCTTGGCTGTTGCACATGTTTATAATAGATAAGAAAATGGATTTGTGCTGGAGTTCATTTTTTGCATGGTTTATGTAAGACACAATTTCCCATTCCTCTCATTGCTTTGAATAGCTCCACAACGCAGTGTTGCTGTGGGTTAAAAATCATATCATGTTTTCACAATCTCGCTGACATTCTTAAGAACCATTCAGGATATTGAAAGCAACAACTTAGTTGTTTGCTTGGTTCTTTGAAAGATGAAAAGAAACCCACTAATCATTGTGATGAATCATTATTACATGCCATCTTTGTCTGGAGTTTTGAGATTTTTTTGTATTCTGTTTTCCATCATTCAGCTGAGTGGTATGTGAGAGTTATTTAGCTGTATGTGGTTACTGGTGTGTGATGCCTGATGCTTGACTGTAGGAAAGTCCAAACACAATGAGATTATTAATTGAGAATTATTTTTAATCGCTTTATCTTTTTGGTTAGTGTTGTCATTTGTTTTCTGTCCTGTGTTTGTTGTCATTACATCAACAATGGAGAAATGTTGTGTCTTTTCTTCTCATCTCGGTGGAGCGAAATCTCAAAGTTGCTGTCTCTCTCTTTTCCAAAACTGTTGTCAGGATTATGATTAAAACCGTAAAAGGATGACTTTCCATCCCTGTCCTACTTTTGGTTTCTGCATTTGACATGATGCTGAAATGATACTTGCATCCTGCTTCCTTGTCTGCTTATCTCTGTGAGAGCCAGATTTGTCAAAATTCCATATATTTTGTGTGAAATCCTTTTATTATTTCAGTAATCTCATGCAGTTCTCTTGTCAGAATGACACATTTCCCCATTAAATACAAGACAAAATGGCACTGATGAGGCATAGTATAGGGGATTTGGGAGGAACAGCTGTCAGCACCCTTTCTGATACCTTTTAAATGTTAACAACTGTGCTTCATGTTACACTCTGTCAGCCAGTACATTCATGTGTGAACAGTTCACATTAACACTTCTCTGACCAGAAAAGTCAGATACTGTGTGCTGTAGTGTTAACAGTCTGGGAGCATAAGGTGTCCAGGCAAGCATGTGTGTTAGTTTGGAATGATGTGCATCTGTACACAATATGTGCTCGCATTTGCCACAATAATATTTTTTTCCCCTCATTTAGCTCTTATTGATTGTATATATGTAATGCCCTTGATAAGTAATTGGAGAAAAAGCGTTTGCCACTTTTTAAAATCATATAATCTGCCTCAGTGATACAGCATTTATAAAGTGGGATGATGGTGATTGCAGCATTAGTTGTATGTAGCTCTTTAGCTGCAGTATCATTGTAACTGCAGCTGTTTTTGATGAAGTCCTTTCTGCTCTAACACACACCATCTCCCCACAGCCCCCAAGCCCCTGTTGTTGTAAACATGGATGTCTTATTGCATTATGATAATAAGGGTGCATCAGAGTAGCCTGGAAAGCCTTTACAGCCACTAAGGCTACACAGCCTTCCTTCAGTCCTGCTGTTGTCAAGGTGTACCACCGACCTTCATGAAATAGCAATTAACTTTGTCTAGTTCTTCGTTTAACAGATTTTCTCACAGGGATCATGCTTTACATTTGCCCGGTGTAGGCTGAGTTTCAATGGCTGCAAAAAATGTCATTGAATTTTTATTGGTGTCCCAAATTCATGTTTCGATTCCAGTCCTCCAAAAATAAAATGCTCGGGGCGCCCGGATGGCTCACATGGTAGGACTGGCTACCCGTGTACCATGGCTGTACCAAGGCTGAGTCCTTGCTGCAGTTCGACTCTGATGAGTGGCCCTTTGCTGTGTGTCATCCCCTCTGTCTCCCTCTCTTTCTCCCCTCTTTCGCCTTACTCTAAGGCTGTCACTATCGATTAAAAAAGGCAATAAAAAGCAATTTTTTTTTATAAAAAGGCATCTTTACTGTATAATGACCTGGATCAGTTACCCAGATCAGACTAAAGCTTTAATTCTGCATAATAAAACCTTCTTTTCACACCCATGACCTGATTAAAGTATATTTCAGACATTTTGGGCAATAAGGGCTGATTTCTCCATCAACATCCACTCACCGGAGGCTGACTGGCAGCATCACTGGACAGATAAAATCGAATTACAGTGCTGATGGCCGATGTGTGATTGTGTCATTTTCTCTGTGCAGGTTGTAATGAGAAGGGGAGGGGGGGGGTTAATCCTTCAGATCCTCCATTTCCACTGCTGCACTAATCCACCGATATTCTCATTGTGCTCAGACCAGCCTTCTGGTTTTCTGTGAGACTCTGTGAAGTACTGTACATAGTCAGTAGATCGGAATTGACTTTAATGGAGGCCAAAGCAGACTGGAAACAAATGATTTAACTGAGGCTGTGTTGTTGTCATCCCTGGGATTTTTTAGGCCCAAGAGAGCAGATATTGAAAGATCCCAATTGCTTGGCTGTCAAAACAGACTGCTCCTCTTAGCAGCAGACGGACACATGCTTTGGAAAGGATTTCTTCAAGTCTGCCACATACACATATATTGCATTGTTAGTACACACACACAGTCAGCAGAGTAGACCTCATTTGCATGTGGCTGACATTTGTTGCTTTGGTAATTTCATCTGTTAATGGACACAGCCGCAAAGCTGCTCTGAAAGCATATTCCTAAATTGTATGTTGCTAGGCAACGTGGGTTTTGGTAGTAATCGTAGGCAGATTTGCTTGTGGTTAAAGGGTCAGTCCATTGACAGAGAACGCTGCAAATTTACACGTTACTTGTTTTTACAAATTCGCTGGCTAATCTAATGCATCCGGAAAAAGCATTAATTAATCACATTCAGGCTTCTCTTGCCTTTTTTAAAAGAAAGACATTATATGCATAATGACCCAACAAAACAGGATTCAGCCTTCCAGTTAAAATTTCATGTTGATATTTTGTCAGGTAGACAAATGATATTGTAATATCAGCAGTAACACATTTTGCATTCCTTAAAATCCAATTAGTTATGAGCTTATGATATTCTGACAACCTCAGACAATCCATTAGATGCAGCAGTGAGTTTCACCCACGATCCAATTTTTTTTTTCTCTTAATAGCCGAAACACAGATGGTATGCCCCCATTCACCTCAGTATATGAAAGACCCTTTAGCAAGACCCCGCCTCTATATGACTGACTAGTACTCCCATCCCCCACACCAGCATAATCACGTAGATGTTACTGTGGAACTTCCATTCTTGTACTTCCACCCTGCGGAGTGTGTCGACTCCTGTGCGTGGACTCTGGCCAGGCGACCTGATGCCAGCTCAGGTCAGTTCTGCTCTGCGTGACATACTAGCCGCAATTCTTTTCCCTGCTTAGGCCTGACGTGATGATGGGGGAGGGGTTATGGCATATTAGTTCTGGAGATAGGAGATTATGTATTAAAGGGGGGCAGGTCAAAGTTACAGGCAGTTGTTGCACGGAGTGAGGGATTAAGGAAGCGAGAGAGGGAAAGAGATGTAGTCCTGCTACTGATGGATGATGAATGCTATTTGCTGGGCGGGGGAGGGGAAACTGGGCGTTGACAGCTGTCAGTCAACCTTGGACTGTCCATGGAGATGAGGAGTGCTGTCAGTGTTGCATACTAGACTTTGAGGGTCAAACTTTGGCCTTAATCTGGGCTGACAGTCAAAGGTTGTTTTAGTTATGCTGCTGGTCACTCTGTTCGCCGCACATAGTGATAGATATTTTCTCCTTCTGACGTGAGAGGGTGGCTTACCAGTGCCACAACCTTGAGTAATGCAGCCATTGGATTAAACTGAAAGGGATAGACACAGACATTATTATAATTGTGCCTTTGAACATCTAAAGCCTCTGCTGTTTCAGTTAGTGAAATTCAGTTTTATTCACCTTGCTGGGAGCTGTTAATTTTCTGCATAGGCAATAATAAGTGACTGGCAGTTGGAGTAGTTTCAAGGCTTGGATGACTATGAAACTCTTTTGATTGAATCATTAGTACAAACGATGAGCAACTGTGTTAGAACATACCTGGTTGTTTGATAAAAAGCACAAGCTTACTTTCATAAAAATGAAAGGAGAGGTGTTAACTGATGATGCCTTAAAGAGTAATTAGGTAAGAACATCCAGTCACTGAGCTAAAGAAATACAGTTTTTAGAAACCTCATGCATGCCATTCTGCCATTTAGCAGTTTATATCAACTCATTTTGGATTCTGGGACAATTTGGGATGAACTGAGTAACCATGGTGTGGGATTTTGTTCACAATTGTAATGAGAAAACATCTTTAATTTGCAACAGCTATGATTGGTGCCTCTGACTAGCTCCTACTCTATAGCAATTGGGGCCAAGGCTCATGGGTATTGGAGTATTTCGAGCCATCCGCCTGACCAAATTTGTGGTAAAGGCACGATTTCTCAAAAACAAAGTTGAAATAATTGAAGCTGATGGCTAACGTAAACCTTTCATTTAATTATCCAGGAGACTCATGTTTTTCTGTGTTGAGGAATATCATTACCAGATAACAGTTCTGTGCACCCTGTATGCAGGATGATGTGTGCAGTGTGTACACATGTGCATCTGTTGTGTCACACCAGATGTTCCTCTTAATATCAGGCAGTGATTTCCCTTTCCCCTCGTGAGTGTGTAAAGTCTCTGGTCTCTCTCTCTCTCACACTGCCAGGACTAGATCTATAAAAAATCTTCACTACTCATTTTCTCTTCATCTCTTTCTCTTGTTCTTTGTATAAATTGATCCCAGTTTGTCTTTGCCTCTCCCTCCCTACCTTCTGTAGAAAATTAATCTCGGTAGGAATTGATTTGGCTGTGACACCCTCCTAACTCAAAGAGTGTTTAGAGACATATTTCTCCCATTACCTCGATCTTCTCTTTTTCTCCCCCAAACGTCATACCCAGCTCAGCACATTCATTCATTCATGACTGTGGTTGTGGGTT